CGGTCCTGGCCGCTGCCGGCGGCGTTGCAGCTCCACTGCCGAGCCCCATGAGGGGTCCGGTGGTGGACCTGCAAGGCCGGCGGGAGTGCAAGGAAGCTCCGCGAAGGCCCTCCCTGGCCCCAGGCAGGAAGGGGTGGGGAGAGGCAGGGAAGAAGCAACTTACCCTCCCTCTTCTCCTGCCTCCTCCTGGCTGAATGAGGGCCGGAAGCGGGGCAGCCGGAAGCAGGGGGCGGGGCTTCGTCATGTGCCCCGCCCCCCGTACCTCACCCGGGGGAACTGCGATCCCCCGCGATCCCCCCCGAAATGACCTCTGGTTTCTGCTTTTGTCTCATGCCTTGAAAACCCTGCAGGGTCACCATAAGTCGGCCGTGACTCGCTGGCACTTCCCACCAGCATCACCCAGTGTGACCATCTAACAGAACCCAGAAGGGGGCAATGCAGGCGAAAGGGTGGGCTCGATTCGGAATGGCCGGGATTGTCAAGGGCGGGTTGGGCCACTGGGCTCCAGTGTTCTCTCCATGTGTGCCCACACTGCTGTCTCACATGCGTGTGGACAGTTGCCTTGCAGGAAAAAGTGAGATGGGGGAAACTTGCCTTTCACTTCTAAGAGCAGGTGAACTGACCTTCATTGACTTGCCTTCCACCTCTTGGAGCTGCGGTGTCTCAAGGGGTTAAGACGCTGAACTGCAGGCCGTGGAAGGTCGGTAGTTCAGCAGTTTGAGACCCGAGTTGCCGCATGACGGAGTGAGCTCCCATCTCTAGTTCCAGCTCCTGCCAACCTAGCAGTTCGAAAGCAAGAAATTGCAAGTAGATAAATAGGTACCACTTCAGTGGGAAGGTCACAGCGTTCCGTGCGCCTTGGTGTTTAGTCCTGCCGGCCACATGACCACAGAAACGTCTTCGGACAGCGCTGGCTCTTCATCTTTGAAACGGAGATGAGCACCGCAACCCTAGAGTCGGATTCGACTGGCTTTCGAGCAAGGGAACCTTTACCTTTACCTTCCACCTCTTAGAGCGGGTGGACTGACCTTCATTGACAAGGGTCTCACGAGGGATGCACAGTTAGTGGATGTGCATTGAATCCTCCCTAGGGATCTTGGTAATACACATGCGCTCTCTCCACACACACACGCACACTCCACCCATTATAATGATGGCTAATCTGCTTATTCAGAAGTCACAGTTGCCTCCTCATGAGCACAGGTGATCTTCACTGGCTTTAGTGGCTTGCGAAGCAATCAGACATGTTAATGAAGGGTCGCTGTGGGAATGGCTGTGAGTCATGAGGCTGTGAGAAATCTCCATGCGCAGAGAGCAAGAACAGCAGGTTGGCTATTTATTTATTTAGCTGGACTTGGGGAAGCGTGGATGGAAGTCCCCATTCTGCCCCATGTGTTCACTGGGTGACCCCAGTTGCTCAGCTTTTCGAACCTTACAGAGTTTCTATAAGGAAAATTCGGGATAGCGTTGGGTCGGGAAATTCCTGGAGATTTGGGGGGGTGGAGCCTGGGGAGGGCGAGGTTTGGGAAGGGGAGGGGCCTTGGCAGGGTGTGATGTCATCGTGCCCACCCTCCAAAGCAGCCATTTTCTCCAGGGGAAGAGCTGATCTCCGTAACCTGGAGACTAGTTGTCGTTCTGGGAGATCTCCAGTTTCCACCTGGAGAGACTGGCAACCCTAGGATAGCTCCCTTTCTGTCTATGTCACTCTAGTGTCCCTGGAAGAAAGGTGGGATATAAATGTGAAAAAAAAGAATGAAACATCATATTACAACCTTTGGATGTTTGGAAGCAGTGTGGGTCTAAGCACAAAAGACTTGTGTTTCCTCTCTCTGTGCTCTGGGCCGCAAGTTCAAGTTCGTTTATGCCTCCCATGGGAAGAGATACATCCTTTCCTCACACTAGGGGTACCCGCTCTGGGTTGGGAAATACCTGGAGACTTTGGGGGTGGAGCCTGGAAGGGGTGGGGCTAGGGGAGGGGAGGGGCCTCAGCAGGGTACAATTTATTTGCTTGTTTGTTTATCGGGTGTCCCGCCCACCTTGCAAGCAGGCTCCGGGGGGGTTCCATCAGTCTCTGTACAATATATAATACCATTTAAAAGCAATTTAAAACAACAGTTTAAAACAGCATAGATCATAAAGCGCTGTGTATAATTAGCCAGATGCCTCAGCAGGGCTATTTTTGGGCAGGAACGCACAGGAACGGAGTTCCGGCTGGCTCCTGAGTTGGCCACGCCCAGCAGGAACTCATTAGCATAATAGGACACACCCAACAGCAGGAACTCATTAGGATTGGCTACATTAGGGGTGTGTAGCCTAACATGCAAAGAAGTTCCTGCTACAAAAAAAAGGCCCTGGGTTTTGACAACAAAGCAAACAGAATAAGAAGCAAAATATGGGTGTGGCTGGATGAGCACACTTCTGATAACATGGTGGGTGTGGCCTAATATGCTAATAAGGTATGATGTCATGGGTGTGGCCTAATATGCTAATGAGTTTCTGCTGTTGGGTGTGGCCTATTATGCTAATGAGTTCCTGCTGGGCTTTTTCTACAAAGAAAGCCCTGTTAGATGGCTCCTATATGGCTATTCAGATCCGGGCCACTGATGGGAGATCAACGGGTGGTGTGGGGGAATGGGACGTCCGTTGCCTCTGTCAAAAGCCTGGTGGAAGAGCTCCGTCTTACAGGCCCTGTGGGATTGTAACAAATCCCGCAGGGCCCTGATCTCATACAGGGGCTCATTCCACCAAGCTGAGACAAGTCGGACGCCCCTGGGGCTGGGGACTACCAAAAGGTGTTGGTTAGTAGACCTCAGTCCTCTATGGGGCTCATATGGAGAGAGGCGGTCCGTCCACAGAAAAGGGAGGCATCCAGGAGCACCCCCAGACTCTTCACCCTCGACATTGGCACCGATGGAGCCCCGTTGAAGGTTAGGAGCCTGATTCCGTAGAGTTGACCCTCCAAAGCCGTAGTTATTGGTGCGAAAATTCTTTTTAATCGCTGTTTTGCCTGTGTAGGATTAGAATTATTTTCCTTCTATTATCCTAATTCTGTACTGTGATGGCCTTCGGCTAGATACACAATATAATCCTGGCATTCCGGCACAGACCAATTGTAATAGCGGGAGATCTCCAGATGCTACCTGGAGGTTGGCAGCCAGTTTGGTGTCGTGGTTAAGTGTGCGGACTGTAGTCTGGGAGAACCGGGTTTGATTCCCCACTCCTCCACTTGCACCTGCTGATGTGACCTTGGGTCAGTCACAAGCTGTCCTTGAAACTCCCACCTCCTCCACTTGCACCTGCTGATGTGACCTTGGGTCAGTCACAAGCTGTCCTTGAAAAAGAGCAGTTTCTGTCAGAGCTCTCTCAGCCCCACCCACCTCACAGGGTGTCTGTTGTGGGGAGGGGGAGGGAAAGGAGTTTGTAAGCCGCTCTGAGACACCTTTGGGTAGTGAAGGGCGGGGTATAAATCCAATCTCCTCTTCTTCTTTCACCTCACAGGGTGTCTGTTGTGGGGAGGGGAAGGGAAAGGAGTTTGTAAGCCACTCTGAGACTCCCTTGGGTAGTGAAGGATGGGGTATAAATCCAATCTCCTCCTCCTCCTCCTACCTTGCACTGGGATAAGACTTGGGAGTGTGGATTGGGGAAGTACGATTTGCTCCGGCTTCCTCTCCCTCGGCTTCTGTGGAACATCTGAAGTGGCTCCCTGAATGGTGGGTCGGTGGGGGCAAACAATCAGGGGCGTGTCCATTGTAGTGATGCCTTGCTCCCAAGAGGCAACCCGACCAGCCGTAGAGCCCCAGACTAGCTGAACCACTGAATCAGTCTGGTCCAGCAAGCTAGCTCTCGCATTTCTGGGTCTGCCACGCTACGGGTGTCAACCGTATGAACACACCCTCATTCAGAATGCCCCGGAATCTCTTTCAGGTGTTGGGAATGGAGCAAGAAAAGGCGGAGAAGCAGAAGGAGGAGCGGGAGGAGGCCCTCATTGAGTTCTACAGCTCCTTCAAAGACCTGTTTGAGTTCTTCTGCTTGAACACCACCATCCATGGCACCATCCGCCTGGTTTGCTCATCCCGCAACAAGATGAAGACGGCCTTCTGGGCCCTCCTCTTCCTCGCCAGCTTCGCCATGTTGTACTGGCAGTTCGCGCTCATCTTCAACGAGTACTGGAGCTACCCCGTCATCATGACCATCTCTGTTCACTCAGAACCAAAGATGTTCCCGGCCATCACCATCTGCAACCTGAATCCCTACAGGTAGACAAAACCGGGCAGAGCTTTACTGTACAGCCTGCTGGGTGGTGGCCAAGGGTCCATTTTCAGGTTGAAAGGACTTAGAAAGAATCCACGAACTGAGGTAGGGCAGACCTAGAATGCCAGGGTAGATTTATATCAGCATGAGAGCCAGCGCGGTGTAGTGACTGAGGGCAGTGGACTCTAATCCGGAGAACTGGGTTTCATTCCCCACTCCTCCACACAAAGCCTACTGGGTGATCTTGGGCCAGTCACAGCCCTCTCAGAGCTCTCTCAGCCCCACCTGCCTCACAAGGTGCCTGTTGTGGGGAGAGGACGGGAGGACTATTGTAAGCAGTGTTCCCTCTAAGCTGAGTTAGTGTGAGCTAGCTCACAGTTTTTTAGCCTCCAGCTCACACATTTTTGTCTCAGCTCAGGAAACATGGCTCCAGAGCAAACTAATTTACGCAGTAGCCAAATCGCTCCCTCACAACTTACGCAGTAGCCAAATCGCTCCCTCACAAATGCCAGTAGCCTCACAAAGTAGAATTTTTGCTCACAAGACTCCACAGCTTAGAGGGAACATTGATTGTAAGTGCTTTGAGATGCCAGGTAGAGAAAAGTGGGGTATAAGAACCAACTCGTCTTCCTTTTCTTCCTCTTCTTCTTCTTCCTGCACATGAAGCCTGTTGGGTGACCTTGGGTCAGTCACAGTTCTTTCAGGACTCTCTCAGCCCCACCTGCCTCATAGGGTGTCTGTTGTGGGGAGAGGAAGGGAAGGCAATCATAAGCCGCGTTGAGACTCCTTCCGGTAGAGAAAAGTGAGGTATAAAAACCTACTCTTCTTCTACTCTTCTGCTCTTCATCCTGCTTGGAAAGGATGAACGGAGTTCTGGGATGAATTTTGAGAATCCAGTTTCTGACCAGGGTTCCCTCTGTTCAGGGCAAATTTACAGTGTTAATAATGTCCTGACCAGGGGTCATTTCCTGCAGGAGCGCACAGGAGCGGAGCTCCGGCAGTAAAGAGCCCAGGGGGCGGGCACATGCAACAAGCCCCACCCCCTGCTCCCAGCAGCCCTCAGTCAGAGCAAGAAGCAGCCAGGTAAGCTGCAGAGCTCCCCCTGGTCCAAAACAGTCCAGTGGCACCTTTAAGACCAAGTTTTATTCAGGCACAAGCTCTCCCTCCTCTGTGAGGACAGATCTGCACGTTCCCCCTCCCCCCAATAGCTAGCAATCCAAAAAGGTCCAGTGGAGCCTGAGCGGTGGGTGTTGCCTTCTGACACACTTCCGGTGATGTCAGGGGGTGTGGCATATGCAAATAAGTTATGCTAATGAGTTATGCTAATGAGCTCCTGCACCTCTTTTTCTACAAAATGACCCCTGGTCCTGACCCAAATCAATAAAGCAACATCCAAAGTAATTAAGAGAATGAAAATGATCCCCGGCCCAAAAGACGTCTGTCTGTCCTCGACTCGGGCCATGGCCTTTTTGGCCCGGCCCCCAACCTCCCGGAGGAGATCAGGGCCCTGCGGGATTTGTTACAATCCCGCAGGGCCTGTAAGACGGAGCTCTTCCACCAGGCTTTTGATAGAGGCAACGGACGTCCTGTTCCCCCACACCACCCGTTGATCTCCCATCAGTGGCCCGGATCTGAATAGCCATATAGGAGCCATCTAAATTGCTGAGGCACAGGGCCTCTCCTGCCACCATCCTGCTACTTTCTGTTACCATGGATACTATCGATCATGGTCTTCAGTTTTCAAGGACACGGAATGAGAACCGCCTTGGCTTACCCAAGGCAGGGTAATTGCAATCTGGAATCCCTGATGGGATGTAGCCCTTTCTGCCTCTAACTATTTAACACCAGGACACTATTGTAATAGGTGTAGCTTGATCGCCATTCATTTTAAGGGTTAAGTTTATAATCTCTGGGTTTTTTGTCTTAGCTTAATGGTGAAACCCACCCTGAGCCTGCTTGTGGAAAGGTTGGGATAGAAACCGAACCAAATAAATATAAAAATGAGGACAAATATGAATCAAAATGAAAAGAAACAATAAATTGCACATTCGAGCATTCGTACTGGGAAGGAAGGATCTACTGCTCATAAGAACATAAGAACATAAGAGATGCCAATGTTGGATCAGGCCAAAGGCCCATCCAGTCCAACACTCTGTATCACACAGTGGCCAGAAATACCAGGTGCCATCAGGAGGTCCACCAGTGGGGTGGTGTTCTGGAGGGCATCTGATGGCAGTGGGAGCGTGCCAAAAGTTTTCCTGTTCCAATTTTCAGTTCAGATCTCATTTGGATTGCCATAAAACTTAGGAAAGGGAGTATTTATTACGGCATCGAGCCAGCATAACCATAACACATTAGGATACAGAGTGTTAGAATCTGGGTAAAATGGAAATATATATAGGGTTAGGGTTATATATATAAAAGACCATTAAAAATGACAAATCCAGTAAGAATTATAAAAGGCAAGTCCAATTTTATAAATTTAGCCGCACCTTTCTGATACGATAGCACGCCGCCCAAAATTTAGCCACAGATTCAGTAATAGTCCGATTTTCATCGGATAGCAATCGGTTGCAACACTCCCAGTCTGTCTGGCCAGATGCGAGTTGTTGCGTCTGCTGCCGTTTTGGCCACGTTTTTGCTTCCAATGGCCGCGTCCTCTGCCTCCTGGGTTCATCATATAGGCGATCCCGCTAATCAAGGATCAGATGGTTAGAGGGAAGATACCCCAATGATTCAAAGTCGATTGAGGTTTTGGGGGCACTCAGAACCCTTTGCCATTTCTATCACTTCCCAGGGTCGACGCTGTCCGTGAAAACATGGCCAAGCTGGATAATTTAACGAGGAAAACTTTCTTTGAAGTATATGGCTTTGACATTCCACAAAGTGTACTGGAAGATGATCTGAAGTCAGACTATTGGCTGAAAAATAAGTCGAGTGCGGTCAACGGCTCCAGCTTCCATCTAAATGAGAGCTTCGGGCTGTTGAAGTTCGGTAGAAACCGGGAAAAAGTCGGTTTCCGGCTGGTAAGTTGAACATTTCGGAAGTCTATTACATTTTGCATTAGTGACTTGGACCTTCGAACCCACTAGGTGGTCTTAGGCAAACCGCTCTCTTTGACCCTCACACCCACCATCAGCCTTATGGGAATAACAATAACACCATATCTTACACCGTTATTGTAAGTTATTAACAAGTGAATGTGAAATGCTTTGCACACACTTCATGGCTGAGAAGGGACCTGAGTCCACGACACCACTCTGACTCTCTTCCAAAACCTTCTTTAAAAATGTTCAGGTTTTGTCTTTTGAAATTCTCTGGTGGAAGGGAGTTCCACAGGGGAGACATTCTTTAGGCAAACTTGCAGAAATGAAGAGGAGATTAGGAAACTTTCCCTTGAATCTGAAGAAGAAGAGGAGGAGGAGGAGATTGGATTTATACCCGGCCCTTCACTACCCAAAGGAGTCTCAGAGCGGCTTACAATCGCCTTTCCCTTCCCCTCCCCACAACAGACACCCTATGAGCAGTGTTCCCTCTAAGCTGAGTTAGTGTGAGCTAGCTCACAGTTTTTTAGCCTCCGGCTCACCCATTTTTGTCTTAGCTCAGGAAAGATGGCTCCAGAGCAAACTAATTTATGCAGCAGCCAAATCACCTGCTCACAACTTTAATGCCAGTAGCTCACAAAGTAGAATTTTTGCTCATAGGACTCCACAGCTTAGAGGGAGCATTGCCTGTGAGGAAGGTGGGGCTGAGAGAGCTCTGACAGAAACTGCTCTTTTTCAAGAACAGCTCTGACAGAACTATGGCTTGCCCAAGGTCATCCAGCAGGTGCAAGTGGAGGAGTGGGGAATCAAGCCCGGTTCTCCCAGATTAGAGTCCGCGCACTTAACCACTACACCAAACTGGTGTAGAACAAAGGGTGTGGACCTTGTCTGATTACTAATGCCCTGTGATATCTTGAAATCCAAAGCAAATCCAAAGCACAGAAGGTTTCTTTGAAATCCAAAGCAAAGAACACTTCTACAGATGAATTTATATCTTCTTTGAGCCTCGCCTGCCCTGGTCTGTGTTCATATCTATTTGCTGAGCATACAGAAGAGAAAGAGAAGTGGCATTTGTAAAGCAAATGAGCATTCTGGCTAGCGTAGTTTTGCATTTTTAAAAATCTGGTCACAGATGAGAGCCTCAAGACTATGTGCAAATGTGCAGAGTTTTGTCAAGCTGCCAATGATATATTGCCTAGGGCGAAATCTGAAATGAACACAGTGCAGCGTCTGGAGTCTGGTCTACAAGTGGAACAGGAAACACTGGTGTAGTCCTGGAGTAGTCCTGTATCACTGCGGTGGCTCAGTGGTTAAGATGCTGAACTGCAGGCTGGAAGGTCTGTAGTTTGGGAGTTCAAGACCTGAGTGCCGCATGACGGAGTGAGCTCCCGTCTCTGGCCCCAGCTCCTAGCAGTTCGAAAGCAAGAAATTGCAAGTAGATAAATAGGTACCGCTTCGGTGGGAAGGTTACAACGTTCCGTGCGCCTTGGCATCTAGTCATGTTGTCCACATGACCACGGAAACGTCTTCGGACAGCGCTGGCTCTTCGGTTTGGAAACTGAAATGAGCACCGCAACCGTAGAGTTGGATTCGACTGGCTTTTGAGCAAGGGAAACCTTTACCTTTACCTTATAGTCTAGGTAGGAAGAACATCTTGGAACCAATGCTCTCTTTACGCTGTTGAGTCCTGTGAGCAAAAATTCCACTTTGTGAGTGACTGGCATTAAAGTTGTGAGCGAGCGATTTGGCTACGGCATACATTAGTTTGCTCTGGGGCCATCCTTCCTGAGCTAAGACAGAGGTGTGTGAGCCAGAGGCTAAAAAACTGTGAGCTAGCTCACACTCACTCAGCTTAGAGGGAACACTGCTTGGAACGCTTCCCGAGAGAAAAAGAAAACCTCCCCGCAAGTAGGAAACTAGCACAGGTGACAGAAGGCCACGAAACAACCCTCTCCACAATTGGCTTAGTCTCCTATCTGTGGGCTGTTATTTATTTTTTAGCGGAGGAAGATTCAAAACTGGGAGGCCCCCACCTGCAGACAGAAGTGGTAGAGTCTCTTCCGCACCGGGGCGAGCGGAGGTCTGCAGTCGAGTTCCTTCCTTGTTCCAAAATTTCTCCCTTTCGCTGTTCTACTTCCCCTTACCTCCAGTGTAAGGAGGAACATTCTGACCGTTCCAAAACCGGATCACGCCCAGTTTGCCACAGGCTTCAGTGGGATCCCCAGCCAAACCGACCTGGAGAAAAATGGCTTCCTGGCCCCAAAGTGGCGATCGGCGTTTCCCTGGGCGTGTAAGAAAGGGCCACGAGAACTAAGCACTGAGGCAGCCCTTCCCGCCCTCCCTTCTCAGGATCTGCCCAAGTTCACAGAATCAGCACTGCTGTCAGATGGCCACCTAGCCTCTGTCTGAAAACCTCCCAAGAAGGAGAGCCCACCACCTCCCGGAGAAGCCTTTTCCACTGAGGAACCGCTGTTCCCTCTAAGCTGCGGAGTCTTGTGAGCAAAAATTCTACTTTGTGAGCTACTGGAATTAAAGTTGTGAGCAGGCAATTTGGCTGCTGCATAAATTAGTTTGCTCTGGAGCCTTCCTTCCTGAGCTAAGACAAAAATGTGTGAGCCGTCCACACACTTAACCACTACACCAAACTGGCAGTTCTTTCCTCTTCACCAATAAATGACTAGTGCTCAGGCAGAAGCCAGAGTCATAGTGTAAGCTCATGGGCAGTGGGCACCAGCATTAAAAAGACAGTGTACGCCTAGGCTAGACTGAATTTGTCAGATGTTAGAAGCCAAGCAGGGTCAGCCTTGGCCAGTAGTTGGAAAGGAAACCTCCAAGGAAGTCCAGGGCTGGGACGCAGAGGCAGGCAATGGCAGACCACCTCTGAAACGTCTCTTGCCTTAAAAAGAAAAAGTGTCGCCCGCTACCCAGTTGAGCATAATGCTAAAAGAGCTAGAACCTCCTGCTGCCAGACAATTTTAGGATCTCCTGCCTGTTCTACACAGAACGCCATTAGATAATTATTAATTATTATTATTACCAGGGGTCATTTCGTAGAAAAAGAGCTAGGGGAACTCATTAGCATAACTCATTAGCATATGCCACACCCCCTGACATCACCGGAAGTGTGTCATAAGGCCACACACCCCGCCCCCAACGGTCCCAGCCGCCGGTGCCGGCCTTGCAGCTCCAC